TGTCATTGAGAAAATAATGCAAGATTGCGGCCAGAAATATATATACGAACTACAGACTTATCGCGAATATTATTTTGAAGTCTTGGATGATGAAAATTTTATAAAATTGCCGCTTAAATAATGTAATGGATTTGTATGTGTGTATGTAATTAAATTGATTCCTTTTGCTAAATATTTTAAACTCGAAATAAAATTAAAATACTAAATGCACCGATGAATAAATTTGGCTTGATTTGTAATTGAAGTAAGTATAAGCTAATACTAGGATTGCGGGAGCGGGTCAATGTGACTTATTTACGATTCTATTGCTTGTATATTTGGAAAAACTAAACAAATATTTTTAAATATATTGATTTTTCATCGAATTATGAAATGTATACAAATGCTAATTCTCCTCCCTTCCCGGCCACTTAGAGCTATCGCTATTTTGACGGATGCGACTCAAATTCACTCATTAAACATTTTCGAAGAAACCAAGTTCTAACCATAGTAAAACCATATACAGATTCATTCTGCTTTACCTGCCTACGAAGTTGGCGACTGGCGAAAAGGATAGTAATCCTCAGAGCATTTAACAAGTGAAAAGGGATTAGCTTGAAGAGATCATAATGAAGGTACGTATTGGTAACTCGCTTGAGATAGCACAACCAAGCCAAATGCGTCGATTCAGGCGAATTGAATTGTAGCACGAAAGTAAGTGAATACCTTTGTTCTATCGCTGTAATGGTAAAAAATCGAAGCGATCTTGAATTACGGGAAAAATGATGCAAACAAGGAAAATGAATCGGATATCGAACCTTATGCCTCTAATACGGAAGCTCAGTTTTCTAACTGAAAATGTATGAAGCGATCGTGACTGCTGTATATCGTGTTTTTCGGACTATAAGACTCATTTTAAATTTATGAGATGAGTTTTAGAAAAATATATTTTAATCTTAATTTCGCATAAAAATTTTTATTGATTCTTAACAAAGCAATATTCAGTTCATCTACCCTTTCGGTACTATCACTCGTCTCTCGAAAAAATATTTTAATATTACCTGTAAACCATATCACGCACCCAAAATTCGAGTCCCTTTTTCTATATAAAAAGGTGAATCTGATGGTGCGAAAAATACGATAACTTCTTGCAAAACAGGCTGTTTCCAGGTTTTAAAACCGAAAGTGATCTTAATGTTGGAGTTGGATTTAATCTGCTGCTGATGGGACATCGTGGATTACATTGAAAGATGGTGGAAGCACTGGCAGACTTCCCGGTCTTACTAAATTCAAAAGCGTTTCAGGGCCGTTCTCCTACGCTGGAAGAAATATTAAACTTGCTACTGCAAGGAGAGCTCTTACTTCAATAATCTATGATGGAATACAGAAGATCATGCGCTGATTTCGAAACTTGCAAAGTTTTGAAAAATAATCATAATTACGAGCCTTTGTAGTGATTCTTGTACGCGTGGGCAAGATATTCAAAGTGTTTGTATTAATGGTCTAAGCAGTGGGGAACTTCTTTCTTCTTTCTCCCGAGCAGTTAGGCTTGTTATAAACCTGTTGCAGACATAATAGTCGATGAGCAATAGTTCTCAGGTAAAGCCAGGTGCCCATTTGCTCAATACGCATCGAATCAGCAACATAAATTTGGCATCAAATTATCGCTAACTGCGGACGTTACGAGCAAGAATTTTCTAAATGGTTTTCCCTACTTGGACAGGAACGAAGCCAGCGGATCAAATATTTCCTTGAGCGAATATGTTGTATATAAGATCATTAAGCCATATGTACGTTGTGGACAAAATATTAACGCAGACCATTTTTTAAAAGCTTTCCACTTGCAAAAAAGTTCCTTGCTTGGAACGATCGGGACAAATGGAGAAAGAGTTAGCTAAAAGTGCAAAAAATGCAAAGTGCTAAGGGTTTTTCTTCAGTACGCAGTGTATAGTAAGTCCAATGAAAAACTTCTATTATTGAGCTCAAAGCATTGAAATGTAAAAATTGAAATAATTAAAAAATCGGAGTATCGCTATATATTACCAAATGGGGCGGAACCTCTGCGGAGCCAAAGCAGGCTCCTGCAGATGATCACTTTGCGTGTAAAGAGGTCACTTGAGTAAAAGTTTCCAGAGAATAAATGCACTTTACAGTTGGCTGAACAACTAAGAGCTAACCATCAATACGAAAATCCGTAAAATAAAATAAAAAAATCTGCGGAAAATGTATTTTAAAAACTGCATATATATTTGAACACTGTTTTGAATAAAATTGTTTTAAACTAAAATAAAAATCTTCAATATTGATTTTTGAGTCAAAATAGGTATATATCCAACATACGGCAATCTAGTGTTTAAGACATTAAAGAAATGTATATTGTTAAGTTACAACTTTTTTTTGGGTACAAAATTACAATATTGAAGTCACAAATGTCTATGTCGTCTTAATTTAACTTCTGATTAAATTGATTGCATGTTATAATATATCAATATAGCGGAAAGACATCGGAAATTATTTTGTGGAAGCAATGCATGCATGAAATATTTCCCTTTTAAGAGTTTCTAACCGAACACAGGAAACAGGAAACTCATATAGTATACACGCTCTAAGCTTTCTAGAGTCTAACGCTGTTTTAAATTTATGTTGGAGAGCGAGGTTGATGATTTTAAAATATTTCATCTTCTTTTGATTTCATGGAAAAAGAGTACCTTCGAAATGAGTTCACATGATATTTGGCACTTGAGACACCTCAAGCAATTGCATTGCCTTTCATCAATGACAAATATAGAAACGAATGGATAATTGTTGGTATTTTCAATTTTTTTTTTGTTTTTTTTTTTCAATAACTCTAAAGGTAGAACTACTTTTAATGATATCTTCCGAAAATTTCATATATAAAAAATTGAATTTTCAAAAAAAATCGTATCAATATCAATAATGTGTACGTCTCTCTCTCCTGCGGGGGGAATCCATATTATTGATCGGTGCATCTAATACTATTATACTATTTGTTGTTGGAAATTAGAAATGATAATTTTATTTTTATTCATTCTCATATTTTTCTTATATTTCGCTGGATCTTATTGCAAAAGTACACTTACAGTACAAAAGAAAAAAATAAATTTCTCGCACAAATGCATAATACCCTCAACGTGTTGTCTTTTCGCTTATGAAAATGGACCGTAATCAATGAGAAAGCGGGTGCACATATTTTAATATCAATTTATGAAAACAAAAAATTACTAACCGAGAAAATATAATACTACACGTTTTAAATGTTGAACACTTACATATTTTCAGCATCATAAATATGTAAAGCGAACAACGGCAGGTGTAGTGTTGCAAACGGTGTTTTCATCATTGATTAGAGCCATTTTCATTTTATCCGCAAATAAATTTAGTTTTTTTTTTCTTTTTTTGTTTAGTTTGTGTTTGAGTTTTTTTTTTCTTCTTTTTTTTTTTTTTAAATTTTTTTTTTTTTTTATTTTTTTTAAACAATTATATTACAATTTACTACTATTGCAAATACATATACACCGTATCTACATAGATTTCTTTTATACATAACAAGAAAAAGAAAGTGAAAATGTGTGATTTCGTCTAAAATACATAATTATTTATAAACACAGTGAGGTGAATGAGCTAATAATTAAAACAAGTTCTTTTCTCTCATTTTTGACACCTGCTTATACGAGAACACGTGCAGTTCTGTAATTTCTTTTCTTTTTTTTTTTTGGTTGTTTTACTATTTATGCCAACACTGTAACGGTTTATGTCAATGTTTTATGTAGTTTTCTTTTTCCTTGTTTTTTTTTTTTATTTATATTATATTTTTTATATATATAAATACCATTTTTAAATCTTATCACAAAAGAAAAAAATAGTTATAATTATTATATAATATTCTTAGAATTGAACAATAATTAAACGTAAAATATATGTATAGGACTTAGTTATTTATATAGTGTTTATATGAGGATGTGTGTCTGTGTGTTTCCAGTGAGTGCCTTTTTATTGCTTATTTTGCATTAAGTTGTTTCAGATCAAAAAAAAATTAATTAATTAAGCTATACAAATAACTATATACTGTAGGTAGCGAACAGCATAGCTATACTCCGATGTATTCTTTTAAACTTTTTTTTTTTCTTTTCTTTCCTTTTTTTTGTTTTTTTTTTTTGTTGTTTAGAGCACTTTAAATTGTGTTATGGATTCTTGGCATATTTGTCGTAACAAATGTTGCGGCATTCCCGCTTGTTGGGAGTTTTTCCTCTGGAAAGGATAGAAACAGCTTCTCTTTTTTTTTTTTTTTTTTTCTCTTCGTCACTTTACAGTTGATCGATGATCTCTTTGATTTTATTATCGATTATGATTAAATATGCTTAATGCTCAGTGTTTTGTTCAATTTTCCCTATTCTTATGAAATAACAAAATTTAGGTACAATCATAACAGAAATTTAATAATTGAATTTAATACCAAAAAGCGCGGACAAATTGAAGGAAAAATATATGTAGAAAAGGCAAATATACAAAAATCATCATTAATGCGATCTTCCCATAGAAACACCATTTCCTTAACAACAAGTCAAGGAAATGCATAGTAAACGAAGAGTATAGAGCAACAATACTTTTAAGAAACTCCTTTAACGCTAATGTATGTGTATAGTTCTTTGTTCCTCTGAAGAAATGTGTATTGTTTTTTTTTTTAAATATTGACAAATATGAAAAGAAGAAATTGCGCATATTTTTCATACATAAACGTAATAATAGACTTCACTTTCTGGTTTTGAAATAAAAAAATGTTGCGAATAAATTCTTCGTTTGCTTTCTGTGTTTTGGCTGTGACTGCTTGTTTTCTTCTTGCTGATGATAAACGCTTTTTAACTAAATTGTTCTTATTATTTTTTGATAGTAATATGTATTTTTAGTGGTTATTATTGAAATTGTTGCGTTTTTATGTATATTTATATATGTAATATGATTATTGTTGTTGTTTTTAGATAATTTTGTGGGGTTTTGGTTGTTTTCTTTTCTTTTGCTAAATTTATTTATTTTGTGTACAAATAAATGGCAACAATGAGACCATATAGACCCAGTACTTCAGCGAAAATAAGTATCAAAATCATACCGACAAAGAGACGAGGCTGTTGAGCTGTACCTCTAACACCAGCATCACCCACAATTCCGATCGCAAAACCCGCGGCTAGACCGGAAAAACCGACAGCCAAACCAGCGCCCAGGTGAATGAAACCTCTACAAAAATGATAAATTTAATTAAAAGTATACTATACCGTATTTAAAGTCATATAAAGGGATGCATTACTTATATAGTGAATATTTGGAAGGCTCTTCGAGGGCACCAGCGATGAGTACGGCGACGACCAGACCGTAAATGGCAATGATACCAGCCATAACTACAGGAATGATCGATTTCATAATCAATTCGGGTCTCATCACCGACATGGCAGCGATACCAGTACCGGACTTAGCGGTGCCATAGGCAGCCCCCAATGCTATCGATATGTAGGAAAATAATTTACATGTTATTGAAAGTCATTTTAACTGAATTAGCTTTTCTACCTCAAACTTTTTCCTCAACAATTTTAATAAAACTGGGTTCATATTTTTTTTCTTAATTAATTTGTAAGGTCTATTGCTTAGATATATAAAGGCTACATAAAGGCGCAGTTTTATCTTTCTCTGAAAATACCTGAACTGTTATAAAATAGAAACGGGAAATGTTTGGTTATGAAAAGGTTTTATATATTAACTTTGTTACTTTGTTTGTTGAAGTGTGATTTCTATCCACTTACTCGAAAAGTGTCAAACCCTCATACATGGAAAACGTACAAAATTATTAATTATGACTATTTTAAAATATTTAACCAGTTAAGTCCACATAAGGCTCTTTGTTAATGTAGGAAGGGAATTAGAAAGGTAGGTTAGTCATTTAAAAAAACCATTTTTAACCAATTGTCAGTAATTTTACTTTTTTATATTATCATTTATTGGTTCGTTGCTCAAAACTTAATTAGTATTGTAAACTATAAGACGATGACGAAGAAAGCGGTAACATGAAACGATATGCTTGATTTGCTTACAAAAAGAAAATAAAAAAACGGCCACAAGCAGACTCTTCTTATAACATTCTGCGTGGGATTAGCCCCTTCCTTTGAACTACAAAAACAAATGGTCAAATCTGACACAAAACTGATGTGAGACAACTTTAGAATTAAATAACAATACCATATTATTTCATCCAAAGATAAAATAATTTTATTATTCGTCTTCAGTACCTCTAGTTAAACTTATAAAGCAAGTGGGTGTGGCCATTAGCAATACTTTTATCTAACTTCGTTAAATTGATTAGAACTAAAAAGTAGTTAACAACTCCTTGTTTAGGAATAAAAAGATAATAGGCGGCCCTTTCATTTCACCTTTTACTTTACTCTCAAAACATATTAAAAAATTAACAAATTTTCTACTGTCGTAATAAAACACTACGATCATTTGCTTCCTAACTTCTGACCACCCAGTTAATCCTTATTTTTTGTTTCTAATTTAAAATTAACTGATAAGTGGGATATTTATTCTTCGAAAATTATCTTAACACAACATGTGATGATAAGTCCTTGGTATGTAATTGATTATATTGCACACTACGCACATATGTATATATATGTACATATGTATATATATATGCATGAGATAAGAAATTTGAGACAAACTTATAGGAAAAATGGAAACTTTACCCAACCTAATCATATCATAATTTTTTTATAATGATGGCAACTCTAACTAAACTAAGTCTTGTGACTTGTTAGGTGAACGAAATATAAGTTATATTTTTTCTGCACACACGGAAGGGAAACTTACATAATTTTCTTTCATTCAATTCAAAACAAAACCCTACTGTTTGAAAAACGTTACCAAAATCATATACAGAAGCTACAAAAGAAGCAGATATCGTAATCTTGAATACTACTAACTACTTAATTAGTCAAGTCACGCGCATACTCTATATCAATGACACATTGCGTACATGTTTGTTCATACGTGTACATAGGTATATGAAAGTCACGAATGTAGTGGTACTAGGATTTCTTCTTTTAACAACCTGCATCATTACCCCTTTAAATTTTCATTTTAATGAAATTTTTCTGTATCTTATATCAAATCTATTCCTTGTTGCAATATCATCTTTTAGAATATTCACATATTTTAATCGTATATTACTTACCACTGAATATAATGGCTGAGGCAGCCCCCATCACACCGAAAAAGGGTCCATAAATTGGATTATCGCTTGCTGTGTCAGCCATTTTTTGTTTGTGTTTATATTCAAATTATAGTTTACTATAGAGCGAAAAATACTTCTTGGTTTTATAAAGTTTTGATGTCCTGGTAAAATTTTATCACCGTGTATTGTTAGTTTTAGCTATTTTTCTGTAGAAAAAAATTGCAATTTGCTTTTTTTAGAGGAGGAGCTGAATATCTTCTTTGGCAATTGTTCGTTCACTTTTGATTTTCTTTTTTCTTTAATACGAATTTATAAAACAAGGTTGCCACAGTCTTAAAATGTGTTTCTGTTTGCACTATATGTGTAGCACGAAAAAAGAGAGGCAAAATGGAAAACCCGTTAAAGCTAAAAGATGAGATGAATGTCAAACAACTTTAATAAAATATGAAGATTTACAATTAAATTACGTAACTAATCAAACTTTATATATCGTCAATCGATTACTAAGCGATTTTTGCTACTAGGTGTTTTATCTCCTAGTATTCACATATTCACATGCAGGCGCCGACAATGAAATGCTTGTAATTGTGTATGTACGTTTTACGTCTGTGCGGGCTAACATATGTAAATCTTGCAAATGTTGTAAAAAACACACATATACACATGTATTTATATATATATATATATATATATCTGAAATGAACAAGTGTTGTACTGACTTTGAAAAATTTTCTCTAATCATTTATTGAAATATTCTTTATTAGAATTTATTTGTTTTTCGTCTGAAATATTTATTCTAGAGTTGAAAAAGTTTAATGAATACATCCCTCTCCTCCTCTATGTTAAACAAAAAAAATTATGTCGTGGCAAACGAAGGAATTAACCATTCGTTGCCTATTTTAAGGTTTTAAACTATTTTCAGCAAACATAAACCACACAATTTCACTCACTTCGTTTTAGAATTATTGTTAATAAAATTGCTGAATGTCCCGAATCCTTTATTTTCTTAGTAACTATTTAGGGAGTTCGCTAAGCAGGCTTAGTTGGTAACTGACTGGTAGTGATTTTTACTTGTTTTTTCTTGTGAATTCGTGTTTTTCACGATAAGTAAGGCAGTTGTCACATTTATACAAGCACACTAGGTATAGGTTTCTCTTTTACTCTTGGCTAAACCAAGCGTGAAACACTGTTTACATCACTTTTTTCATTTGGTCATATGACTTACAAAAGTTATTCTTTAAGAACAAGCGAAGGTATTGGCTGCGATTTGTACTAAGCTTTGGTAGCCAACCAATCAGGCTGATTGTACTGAAATTTCACTTTGACAATATAATAATAGTTCACAATAGCTTTTGTCAAGTTTTTAAAAATATTTAACTTGATTGTTAGAAAATTAACTATTAAGACATAAAAATCGTTTATTTAAAAATATTTGTCAAAGGTTTTTGCTTCAGTTTTTTTTTTCATTAATGACTAATCAATCCATAAGACATTATTACTATTGCCAATATTTTTCGTGTTAGAAACGGTTATGGTATTTATTTACTTTAAACTTTAAGTTTTCTATTAAAAAAAAAAAGAAGAAAATTTAAAGACATTGTTTTATTTTAAGATATAAAACATTAAACATTAAATAAATATGAAAATTTATATCTTCAATGCATTTGTATGCATATATATCAATAAACTTTTAAATTGCTTTTCTCGATCAAAGATTTTACCTCTTCAATAGACTTTACAATACAATCATTCAATTTACTGCCAGCTATGTTATCCATTTCTTTCTTCAATAAGTGGGTGGCTAACGAAAGATGTTGTAGGGCTTCTTCCTGCAATGCTTTTACTTCATCTAATGTCTTGTTCTCCATAGCAAATAAACGTTTAGACTTCTCAACTAAAACTGTATGCATTTCATACAATATTATGCTTACATAGATTGATAAACGTATTGTACTTGGATCGAGTTTTCTACAAATATCGTTCAGTTCTTTACACATATCCAACTTTTTCTCTAATAAGGCGTTGCTAAGTTGATTTATTGTAAATCCTGGTTCTTTGCCATATAATTGTATTAGAGTATGTTTGAGGCTAAACATATGATAGTGATGATTATGTAGAAACGTGCCCAGCTTGTTCATTAAATTTTCCACCTGCTTGATGCTTGGCTTCTGGGCTAACAAAGTTTCAACTTCTTCGGTCATTTGTGTTAGCAAATAACGTACCTCTTCCCCGTTTATGGTTATTGCACACTTGTCGCAAATCCAATCGGTTTTACTATTAAGAGGATCTTTTGGTAATTGTATGCCATCACAGGGCTCTTCTGTAGCGCTCACACAATTCAAAGCACTGAAATACGTTCCTAATTCAGTGGGGTCACTGCATCTTTCACATTTGCAATGGAAATGTTTGGTTATGGCTAAATGTTCATTACGCATGTGGGTGTTCCATAAAATATTAGAATACATAATTTTAAGATGTTCACCTTTCTGAATAGTACGTCCAGCTATAACAGATATTCGAAACCCATTGTGCCGGTCAAAGGAAAAATAACAATTCGGTTGACAAGAATGTTCCATCATACAAGCAGTATAAAATAAACCACTAAGCTCAATTCCCGTAGGTAGACTAACACACATATAATTCGTTTCAATAATACCGCAAATCCGTCGTAATAACATGCCGTCATATTCGCTAAGAAATTTCTGCGTTGGTTTTAGAAGGAAATTACTGTTTAAATAGGAAACTATACGTTCTTCAGCATCTCTAAAGGAGAACGGAAATGCAATAGTCGTGCAACAGTACGATACACCCCTAAAATAAAAAAAAACTTACTCCTGAAGCTCCGTACCCTTCCGCTCTTCTTCATGGCTTTGCATATCTAGTAAATCGTGCCATTTTTTAGGATTTTGCTTCTGAAGCATCAAGCACTTTAAAACCAGTAAAGCATCGGTCCGATAATAGTTACTTAAGCAATCTTCTTTTTTAGCTGGTCCGGGGCCTAAGGACAGAATTTTGCATTCTAAACCATGAATATTGGGATCTTTCAGACCCAAACATCTAGGCGAGCAAGCGGGCCAGTGGCATCTGTACAAAAAAAAATTAATGACAATCAGAGTATTTTCATTATGGATTTTTATTTATGGATTTTCAAATTACCTGGGACATCGTCGGGTGGACATGTGGCAGGGTGTAAAGCAGCCGACGCATGGCATTACAGGGGTCTCTCGTTCTTGTTCTGACAAATACCACTTAGGGCCTACAACAAGAGGCTCTTCGATAAATATAGTTCCGTCGGCCTGAATATCTCGAGTTGCCATAAGATAGCGGCCTAAAATATCATCCTTAGCTATGCGAAATGGACGACATTCTTTTTTATGCTGCTTCCAGTGTTGGCGTTGATGTTCTGTGCCACAATATTTAACCAATTTACAGGCAGAACAGAAGTTTTTCGCAGGCACTAAACAAACGGCACAAACGGGTTCCGTAACTTCGGCTTGAGACATCATTACTTACTTTGAATTCTTCTGCGATTTAAAAATGAACTTTAGATGGATTTTAGAAATCGTTTCGTTGAAATATTTTTAGATTAGTACTGAAGCTAATTATGTGTGTTTCTTATGTATTCTTTATGGATATTTATATTTTTTGCTTTTGTACTCTGAGTGTCTTAATGCGAATGCGCACAAAAAGCAGATCGGTGGCAATGATCAAAAATACTTCAAACCTATTTCTCTGTATCAGCAATTTGATATGCAAACATTCTTTACATTAAAAATGAAGTGTTTTGATGAATATAGGTAATATAAAGGCATTATAATAAGTGAATTCCTTGTATTTCAATACAAGTTTTTTATTTAAAATTACAAAATACATTTTATAATTCTTCTCAATTTGATTCAATTTATTGCTTTTTGTTCACGCATATTCCTAACTACTCCTGCCAGATTCCAGCCATGTCTTAATAACGACTTTTCAACTACATAGGGACCGTGCCGTACACATCGTATCGCTGAACAATGTCCAACGGTTTTTAATTCGATTGCCATATCATTCACTAGCGCCGCCAAATAATCTTCGGTTTCGTTAATTGCATGTATTTCGAGAGTGAAATAAGGCGGTTGGAATCCAATTAGTTTAATGCCGTAGACAACCGGCAGTGAATTGTCAACAGGACGTATTAGCCCTTTACAAGCCAGTTCGTAGGCTGCCTGAGACTGCAAATCAACACCGCACAATTCATACATTTTACGTTGATGTGAAGCCTGCAACGATGAAGCCAGACCACTGATGCGATCTGCCCGAACATGCGTATAGTTAGCTCGAACGGTTTTGCGTGAATCACTAAAATGGTTTTCGGTGGCAACACCCATTTCAACAGTAACGTGATAAGCCCGTATTGGAGGTTTCTTTTGCGCAGTCTTGTATAGTCTTATGCCTCTGTTTAACCCAAGTACTAGGATGATAATTCCGGGAAGGCAACATGAGAAAAATTGAATGGGTAAGAACCACTACTTACTCAAAACCCCACTTGTATGGGGTCCAAGACTTAAGGCAGGTGCACAAGAAATATCGTCCATTTGATAAGCCGGTCCTTTAGACAATATATCGTCTGCTAAATTTAAAGAATGTATTTTACGGAGTATAGGATTAGCTCCTCCTCCCGGTTCAAGTAAGGGATTCTTGGATGCTTCTATTTGGTTTGAGTACATTTCATTCAAATCTATTGCCAATTAAATTGTAGTTAACGTTAGAGGACATACCCTTTTTGCTTGAAAATTAACCTTACCTCGGCATATATTGTAAAGTATTGCTGCTTTCACTTGATTCAATTTCATGTTTTTGGGTTTATAAACATTAATTAGACCATTGAGGTGCTTAACGACAGTGGCGGGATTGTATACTTTCAATAAAGGCATTACTTATTTAACGTAAACAATTTTTCTATGGAAGAATTTTTAAATATTTTATGCCGATTTCTACTTTTTGTTTATTTTTTCGATCAGCTGTTCTGTTCGAGAAATTCCAGTGTTTACTTTTTTATTCATAATAAGCATTTGCTAAGTTGGAGAAATGCGAACTTGGCAGCACTGCATCAGTAAAACGTGTTTATCTTTTTAGTTGTATGTTGTGAACAAATTAATAAACTTTTGTAAACTATTCAATCTGTGGGTATATAAGCCATATATGTCTGGGCTTATTCTATATCTCAAAAACAAAAGTTAATTTCAGCTTAATTATCTGATTACTTTCATTTAAAATGAAGTGGACAACCAGCAATGTAAAAAATCCTAATTACACCGAAAATCATGAGTTTTATGTGGGTACACAAACAGGTTCTTTAAAGAGTAAGTTAAGAACAGAAAACATCTAAAACGATTTTAATTGCATTCCTTATATCCACAGAATTTTCACCGACTTATAAGGACGATCCATTTGTGCAACACAATCTACATAAACTAGGCGATAGGAATTCGAGTATAACGGCCTTAACGTTTACTAAAGATGATGGATCGGAAATCTTAATTGGACGTGCCAAGCCGGCTTTTCAATTACATTCTTTAGACACGCAAAGTGTTATAAAAAGCTTCGAGATCGATGGAGGAGCCCCTGTAGTTGGATTGGCTCAATATGACGGGCGATATATAGTCGGTATGGCAGACGGACGAATTCAGCGTTTATTAAGAGAAGAAGAACGTGCGACTTTGCCTGAAGTTAACATTATAAATGCCGGGGATAATATGGAACGTTTACGGCAATGTCCATTCGATCGACGTCTGGTAGCTAGTGGTGGCAAAGGGAGGCAAAATAATGTAAAAGTTTTTGATCTTGCTGTAGGGAAAATTGTTTTTTCCTCCAAAAATCTACCCAACGACTATTTACAATTGGAGGTACCTGTTTGGGACAGTGATGTTGGCTTTATTGATTCTCCTCAAAATCTGACAACTTGTTCTCGTCTTGGCTATGTAAGGCTGTATGATATTCGTAAACAAAGGCGCCCCGTGCAAAGTTTTGCAACTGACGAGCAAATGAGTTTTACTACCTTAGCAGCAAAGGACAACTATATTTATACGGGTACAACAATGGGCGCAATGAAAGTATGATCATAGGCGAATACATATATGCCTATAATCAGGACTAACTGATATTTTTTTTAGGCTTTCGATATACGTCGTTTGAAGACTTTTGTTCACACTTACAAAGGTTTTACTGGAGGAATTTGCGATGTTCAGTTAGATTCTACTGGTAAGTATTTGCTTTCTGGCTGCTTAGATCGTTATGTTCGTGTACATCATGTAGACTCTTGTGTGCTTATGTATCAATGTTACACTAAATCTAAAATTACGCGAGTTCTTATTCGTAACACGCAAGAGATTGTGTGTGACGATGTGACAACAGAGGAATGCGCCAATGATCAAACTCATCAAAGCGAAGTAAAACTGAAGAAAAAGACTAATACGCCAGTTGATGAGGAATACGAGCAAATGTTTGAGAATATGCAGACCATTTGGTAAGTCAAAACACGTTTATACAAAATCAAAATTTGTTTATTTATATCGCGAAATAAAAAATTCATCAAAATCTGACAACGTAGTACACACTACTACTCCTCGAACTTTTTCCGAAACACAAATATGTGTTATGCAATAACTGAACGAACTTGACTAACACAATATCAATCAGATATGCATGAGAACCATATTTCATTCCTGATTTGCCCTTTTTCGAGTAATAATTCTTGTTATTAAGCGTTTGCAAAATTTTTGATCATTTTTTCACTTGAAAAAGTCATTTATTGGGAAAAATTGCTACCATGTATATTAATCAAAATAGTTTCCATTATTTTCTACAATGTTTTATAATATTATTGGCAACATGGCGATGTTATGTCGAAAGAAAGAATTTATATCATTTTGGCAGCGATCCATCCGCCGACCCATTTTCGCACTTCTTCCGCGTGCCAGCTAAGCCATGCTGCATCGATCTGAACAAATGCTAATCAGGAGCTGCCATGTCTGGTAAGTACGTTGGATAGTAAGTAGGACTTCCCAATCGAGCTGCAACCGTGTATCCTGAACGACTCTTGCCAAAAAGTGGCATTTTCAGTTCGCTCAATTCGCCACTTTGAAGATGTAGAACCCAAAATCGACGATTGGGATATGATGGAGCACCATCACCATAGTCCTCTGAACGTGTTTAGTGAGCTTCGTCAGCAGATTTCCTCAGATAAGCAAGAAAACTAATGAATGAAGAAGAAGTTTAAGCGTTCCATGATTAGCGTCGACGAACAGTAAATAAATCAACAATACTATTATTTTATGTAGAAGAAGAACGAAACGATCAAATTCAACCGTTATTTTTCATTTCTTTATCATTTTTTCTTTTAAAAGTCGTTGATCAAAATTTTTGCAAACACACAATATTAAGCTTTTCATATTTGTATATTTTAAGATTTCTTGACATTTTTTAGTCGTTTCGCTCAAAAATGATTTAATTTTATTACAGTGATAGCGAAGATGTCGACAAAGGCGAAGTTAATGAGTCGGCTCGTCAAAATATTCGTACCCAAGATGAAAAAATTACTGCGCCGAAAAATTCTAAACGAAAGTTAATTCAAAATAAAATATTACATAATAAAAAGAGAAAATGAAAAAGTAAATGGATCGTGTTTTTGTACAAAACCTCTCTTTACGGATCAATCAATGTTTGCCGTGCTTTAAGATTCAGTCCAAAACAATAAATAATGTAGTAAAAGAATTCTATTAATGATATCATACTAAGTCCCAAGCATAAGTTGAAGACGCCACCCAAATCAGCTAAAATGGAAAAACTGTTAGAAAATATAAAGGCATTTTTCGGGCACAACTTGCATATTAAACCAAACCAGGACGTAATTATTACTTTGTATACAGCTGGAACAGTTTGTCTTGCAAAATATATGTGCACAGTAAATGCGTCCTTGAAATCAATTTTTTTATTGGTACTGAGGAGATTAGAAATTTTATAAACACTTAATGCAAATAAAATATTTAATGATACTCACTACATAGAGTTAATTGAGTAGTCGGGTGATTGGAAACGGATATTGTATGCTGATGTAGCGTAGGTGACGTCATGACAATTTGGAAGGCAATCTTTACATTGGACCGTTTTAAAAGCTTCTGCACGGATTATAATAATAATCAATAATCAATTTTAATCATCAGTACATCATGACAGCGATAAATTCAGCGATCTATGTTCGATTTTAGTAATAAACTGTCCACTTTTAATAACTACTACTAACTCAAATTCTTAACAATCAAAAGATTTAAAAATGCCATTAATTACTTGAATTTTCGAATTCCCAATAGTAGGCATTTACTGCAAAAATTCTTAAGGATGTCGAAATTACAATAAGCTACTACACAGTCCCTCGATATTCATCTCTGCTATCCTAAAAAACACTTTAAAAAATGGAAATATATCTTTGCGTATCCCAGACCATTGGATAGGCATGGAATAAAAATAGATATGGAAGCTCCAACGAAGGAAATAAGATGTTGCTGATATTTTCTTTTCATCTTTAATAAGTATTTGTTTTATGTATTATATGTTATTGCGATTTTGCACATTTTCAATAAGAACAAACGTGCAATGCATTCCAATATTTTCGCCAAATTTGAAGGCGATAGGGAATTTTTGTGAATAGGACAGACAGACATGCTTAGGTCGGTTGAAGATTTGATGCTTATCAAAAATGTAGGCATTTTATGCATATTTTTTTTGACAAAATCAATCCTTCGGTGATGAGCATAAAAACGACGATTTCTTTACTTTAGATATCGTAACTTTTATGATAAGCGTAAAATGTTTATCTAATCCACATAATCTATATCCCATAAAAGCACGAAATTTTTGGTCTGAGAAACTAGAAAGTTGTTTATGAACAAAGCGTTTATGATTGTTGTCTTTTTCATAGTTTTCAGGTGTAATTTTATCTAAAAACTACTTTTTTTACAAATTGTTGAAGAAAAAATTTTTAAAAACGGGATATTTGCCATGGGAAAAATCTTGAACGTCTAAAACCTTTAAGATTTCAAGAATTCTTTTCGAGTGTTAGACAAGATTTATTTAAAATACATTTATACGCATTAGGACGATACTGTAGATATCTGAATGTTAGCTAAGTTAATGGACTTTCATTCTCCCTTATTATGTTTATTTAAAACACCATCTACTTAAAATATTGCGAAAACACTTACCGTAGTTTTCCATATAGCATAAGCTATCATTGAGTTTACATTCTCTGTAATTGGTTTCTTCGTTGAACAAATGATATGGTTGGCAGTGACACTTTTCAATTATAAAATCTCGTTCACAGGAGAGCGAACAAGCTGCCTTTCGGTAATTGCTCAAGTCCAAATCATTAGACGTTAAGCAATCTCTTTTGTTGTGGGCTAATTTTAAAACTTCCGTCGAAGCGCTTTGCACCGTAGGTAATATTTGTATGAAACTTTCGGAATTCGAGGTTATAGTTACGGATGCAGCTGCCTCTGTAGCAAAGTCCATAGGATGATGAACGTGAATAATCAATCCCGTAGAGAGACTACGTTCTGAACCTTCTACGCCGATAAAACTAAGGCCGCTATCAATGCCAAAGGTATTAGCTGCAAATGGAATATAAGACAAATTGCGTGGATTATAGTTGAAAGAGCAGCAAGGCCCCAAATAGGAAGTAGTCGGTATAAATGATAGGTATTCGTGATTTTGATGGCAGAGAAACTCATCACTGCCCCAAAAGCAATGTTTAACAAAATCATTGCAACTAGCACCGACTTGAGTGGCCGCTTCAAGTATGGTAATGTTGTTGAGACGAAGGACGTCGTCAGTTACCTTATACGAGGTATGGTTAGGAGGTAACCACGTTTGATCTGTAAACAAATTAAGAAAGCCGAAACCTTCGGCTACTTCTTGCAGCGAAGTGTTGATCGGTAATTTACTAAATATAAAAAGTTAATAAAGCAAAAAAAAAAAAAGAAAAAGCTTCAAACTTACAGTGTAGGTGCAAAACGATTCGCTCGTTCACTATTTACCACTTTTGGACTGCATGCGGTAACTCCCGGGAACGGGATGTTTGTTATTAGCAAATCGTTAGATATCGTATTAACTATTGGATAGGAATAAAATTGCAACCATAATTGTAACGATAGATATATACTCATTAGCAGAAGACTTATCAAAACAAAAGTCCAGACAGATCTAGTATAAGGAACTTATTAGCATCTAAATCAATCGATATGAAATATTGGTTTACCTTGAAGGACCGGATTTATGCTCACGTCTTAATAACCAAACACCACTTACTTTAGTATTCATTATGTACTCATCCAAAGTATCCTTTGCTGCTAAACGCCAATTCTTATACCATTTCGTTCTTTTATTAGATATTCTCACACTGAAGAAAGGCATGGAGTTTGGCGGTGAATTTTTTATGCTCTATGTTCAATCGATAAGAGATGATTTTGCTTTGATGAATATCCCTCTTTTCAAGCCCTTCTTATATAGTGCTCTTTGGTAAAGTGTGCATACTAAATATGTCGTCTCGTTTGCGACAACAACAAACAGATGTCAGTGCTGGGTTAAAACTATTCTTGATGATCATGGTAGTCTAATTCGATGTAACTATGTTCTCTATCTTCTCTATATACATTTATACATATATATATATATAGAATAAAAAGCTTTGCTTTTTAGGTCCGGAAAAATAAATTTGAAATGTTTCAATTTGTAACATATAAGCCGGGCATTCAAAATATCAATTAATGCAAGATAACGGCGTTCTTTGGATTACTCTTGAGATTGCGTAACCGAAACTTGCTACATGAGGCTTGTGTAGGTCTTTTTACTTCCGTATAACACGTAAATAAACTATCGCATTAAAATCTCTTCCAATAATATTGAGTTTTTAATGAGTTTAATGACAATTAATACGTACGCTGACGAAGTGCTCTTAGCGTCAAGTCATTGTAATCCTTATTATATTGAAAGGGTAATTAATGATTATAATTAAAACATTTCCCTTATTTTTTATGTATTATCGCGTTGATGGAGAAATAGTTAAGAGGGAATAGCTTAAAACCTATAAGAACATTATAGTCGGGCTAGGCTGATTATTAGATACCATACACCATTTTGGCTCGTAGTTCAATACTTCTTCGTTTTGGTTATGATGCCATAAAATTTACACATTATTTTCAACGACAAATTTTTCATGAAAGCTTGCGTATTGGCGAGTGCCCAGAATATCACATAACAATTTTTTAATTTTTTTATTTCTGTCATAAAAAAGTAGCAAGTAACTTTTCTCTTCATAAAAGTCCTTGCTTCTTACGATAAATGTAAATCAAATTTCGAATCCTACGAAGGTATCAAGATTAGAAGGTATTAGATTAGAACTAGGTACGATGTAGACAAAGAGGGCATATTTCGAAGAATTGATTTGATAGAATTTAAAGAATCCCATAGCCAGATTAAACTGTCGATATTATTTAAATTTGTGCAAAAGGCTCTAAAAAGATTGAACAACTCGTTCTTATACTCATAGTGATTAGGCTTTATGAATGTATAGAGAAACGATTCGGGGCATTGAAGTTTATTACGCCAAGTAACGTCGGTGCGTCGATAGTAAGATTTATTAATTCATTAAAGAAGGAAACGTCAAAGATAAAAAGTAGTTCATAAGGATGTGAGCAGGAATTGCTTTTGAACGGATTCTAATGAATTTGTATAGCGCCTATGAGAAGGAGGCTACACATAACACTTGCATGCTTACATATTGGCGTCACTAAGCTGAAACCCTTTTTGTAACGTGAGGGTCGTTAAGCCCTTTGAAGACATTTTTTATTTTTTTTTATTTATTTATTATTTTGTTTTTATTTATTTATTTTTGAATAAATACTCCGCACATTGACCTCACCATATAAAACTTTCAATTTCCTAATTTTAAAGGGAAAGAATGTATGTATATATACATATATTGCAAATAATCGCCCAAAGACCCACTTCTTACTGGCTTAGTCTATTTAAACTTAATATCCAAAAAAATAAATAAATAAATGAAAAAATTGTACGTATATAGAAAGAAGAGGTAATGACGAATGTGAAAGATGAAAATAATTAGTTCAGAGTATTTAATGGTCGGCCTTCCCTAACTATACTGTCTTAACTTTTATTTTAGATATGTACACCGGAAACCTATAGTAAAAATATATCTCTTAAACACGTTTGCATTTTAACTAAAAATACAAAACTGACTAGATTTTAATGAAATTTATCACGTCTACCCAATTCGTTTAGGCTTCATTGTATGCTAATGGACTTCTTCACTAATTCCTTCAATAACTGATTCAAATTTCAGGAATGGTTTCCAAATATCTGATAGATTATCACCAGCATATGATATAAAAACCAAATATCAAAAATTTTTGATATTTAATAATTTTTTAACTTGAGCCGTGTAAAAAGTTTCTGCGTTTTTTTTGTACATTTTTTTATTGAAAATCAATTTTAATCAAATATATATTGACCATTATTATCTATGACCGTTTGCCATTTTTCGGGTAGCTTCACAATTCGATCGGTGAAGAGCTTCAGTGATTTACAGTCACAAAACATGGCCAAGGGATTTTCAACGGCATTTTGGTCGGTACAAGAACGTGGCTATGCGTGTAGATGCGTCTGGCCGGGCAATTTTATGTTGAAACACAACGCCCTTTCTGTTGACCACTTCTGGTCGCTCTTTCTCGAACGGTCTAGTTGTGCACAGTACAAAACCGAATTTCGTACAGCTGCAGCAGCTCATAATGGACAATTCCCTTTCACTCCCACCAAACACTTAACATAATCTTCTTTGCTGACAGTCCAGGCTTTGAAGTTGTTTGTGGAGGGTCACCAGCTTTTGACCATGATCGCATGCAATCAAATTTCTTTGCGTTAATTCACGTGGGCAAATGACCTTTGGTGGCCTTCTCTTTTCACCTGATTCACAACAAAAAAATCCGCCGGAATGTGTACAATTAAGGCCTATTTATAACAATTGAGCCCTATTTGTTACAACGGAAAGTTGCAAATCCGCTTAGTTCAAGTCGCGAAATTATTGTAACGGGTTACTTTATATATATGCTAAACCAAAATCAAATTTAAGCTAAAAATGTTTTAAATTGTTAAATATGGGAATGCTTTGAAATAAGGCTACGCCACACGTTTACTAATTAACAGCATTCATATAGGTTAAAATTGTTGAATCACATTAAACTTGGCAGCTCTGTGCGGCGCCATCTCAATTTAAAGATTGGTAGAACACCAAAAAAATAGTTGTTGTGTTTTCATATGTGCTGCAAGCCAAAAATTTGTTAATAATTGATGTAGATTGAATATAATGCTGCAAGAACATTTCGACTATATTAATAAGGATGGTGTTTCTACAAATATCGGTCCTAATGCTAGAGGTTTTAAATTATTCTTTCGTGCCGCCAATAATCGTCAGTCATCTTTTCTTAAATAGAAATACTGCTGCAGTTGGCTGAAGAAGAATTCAACAGAGGAAATTTGGAAAACTCAATTTTCCATCAGATCCGTTTACTTTACCAATCCGCTCAGGAACGTTATCGGCCAATGCATTTTAAAAAAGATAATTCAAAGTCTAAAACAATAAATGTTGATGAGCTTCTGGCGCAAATGAACGCCGATGAGAAAGCTGATTTGCCCAAGTAAGTTCGCCGGAAAAGATATTTCATATTTTTTTATTATAGCTGCATTACATTTATGTCTAATATGATTGGTCAGTAATGCTTTAATACAGTACGCTTTGAAGACGTTTAAGGAAAATCCGCAAGAAAAGGTGAACTCTTCCGATCCTTGTGATATTTTCAGAGATATTTCCGATCCAAGCGACGGTGTAAAGCAGATACAGGATATATGCAAGCAAATGCCGGAAGGTACATTCACGTGGGTAAAATATATATTGCAACCGAGAAAGTAAGAAAACTTTTTTGCAGAGTGGACTATATTGCAGCTCTGTAAAGGTTTTAATACCTTGTCGACGTATTCAAAATATTCAAAGATCCATGAAAGTGACGCGGCTATTTACTTAACGATCTTACGTCATATCCGCACATGTGATTATCCAAAACCCATATGTTTACGTTTTACTGGTGTGGGTCAAAAGGAGCTGTTCAATAAATTTGCTTGTATAGTTGATCGTTTTAAACAATGCGTTGAAGGAAATCATAAAAAATGGAGCACGGTCGAAGATAAAAAACATTATTGGAAATTGTTGGGCGAACTGAATAATTTCATAGCAGTAAGTAGACTTGTTATTTACAAGAAAATATTAATTACGTCACCGTTAAAACCGCTACAGCTAGCAGTGGCTGATTTAAAAAGTTTTCTCTTTCCCTGGAGTTTCCTATTCACGGGGATACCAAATACGGTTTTTACTGCCGGTAATAATATATATGAACTTTGGCGAAATATTGACACATTTTGTGATCAATATCAATGGAACGATCAATCACGTGTCTTGTTGTCGTTGGCTGCTTTAAATGCCCATTCGTTGATAAATACGCAAATTGAAGACGTTTGCACCTCTCTCACCGATGACTCTAAGCAGCGAGCAATGGCTTTCGATTTATTAGAACAGATACGAGAACAACAGCAACTAAAAACTGGTAAGTAATCACGTTTTGAATTGTGAATATAAATATTGTGAAATATTGCGATCCACCATCTAAAGCAGTCGTAGACCTTCCTAAGAATGATGATAATAGGTATTTTCCCTGTGTACTTATAGTAGATGAGGTTTGTAAATGAATATTTGATATAATTTTGATATTATTTACAATAATGTTTTCCCATTAGCGTTTAGATCATTTTTACTGGGAGGAAATTAATATTTGCCAAGAGTTCACTCGCGCCAGCTCATTCCAAAGCCTATGGCGTTTGTATTATTATTACCGAAAAAATATAGAACATGGTTACGTCAAAGTAAGCATCACGGATGGTGCCTGTCTGATAAATCCAGGTACGTTGGACATAGAAATTAGCATACCGTAAAAATAGTTCCTTCAATTTTGCCTTATGATTCCAGACAAAAATTTATCCAAAATGGAGCTGCGTATGTCTACATTTTTTGACTATTGGTTACCACACTGGAAGAAAATAGTTGCCCGAAAACCTACCAACGAGGAATTCTTTAAAGATCTTCTCGCTCGAAGCTGTTACGTGTAGGTAGGGCGTTCTTATCACTGCAAATAAAGTATTAAGATTAGAAGATTATACAGATACACTGGTCACGGTTCGGGACTCCAATATATTAACGGTCGTAATATATCTAAACATGTTCTGCGTCCTGTCGTATTTCTGTTTGGGTGTGATTCGTGCCGTTTGCATACAAATGGATTATACAGCGAACTGATAGGCGCCCATTTGTATTACCAAGCAGCCATGTGGTAAGTATAAAATTGCTTCTTGACGTAACAAACCGATATGCGTATGCTTTCATCACAGTCCTGCTATAGTCGGGACCATAATGCCTGGGCTTGATGCAAATATGGATAGGGTGGCTACCGAAATTTTAAGTCGCTGGATAGCACCTAATTCTGCCAACATATTGCCATGGAATGAAGTCGAAATGACAAGCTGGATAAAGAAGGGCATTATCGAACGTAAGTGTAGCCTATGTTAATAATATTTAAAATATTTTATACGTATTACTGCAGCAGCTATACACTCACCTAAATGCAATAAAAATAGTCAATCACCATCGCCTGGTTCTTCAAATATGGGCAGCTTGTGTGCGGTTTTGGCACGCGTACATCAACGCAACGGTGAGTCAAAACTTTATAACACCGTACCGTACGTATGTCGAGGCCTACCTGTTTGGAATTGTCACGTCGAACCGTTAACTTTCAACTAAGGTGTGAATTTGTTATAGCAACTACTTGACCTTACCGTTGAAGTCGTTAAGCTGAACTGTTTATATTCCTGTTTAGTCCAAGGTAGGATTTAGCAACATTTGTAAGTCAATGTATACATGAAACTTAAATGCAAAATACAATTCCATGATTCCATATGTAGGTGAAGTTGCTTATAAAACTGTTCCTGTTTGAAAATGTGCTTTGATGTTAACATAAAAATACTTTATCACAATCTTGATAAGTCTTGATTTAGATTTAGATTCAGATCATAAAAATGGTTTGCTTTAAAGGGACCTTTGCAGGTTGATAATAGCTGCAAGGTGTTCCGTTTGAACTGTTTTGTAGAGCTTTCATCAACCTCCAACCAACCTTGTGGAGGTTGATGAATAAATAAATAAATAAATAGAAAAATAAATAAAAACAAATAAAAAAAAATTAATACAAGGCGGAGCTGACAACATTTAATTTTATAGGATTTTGTATGTAGTTGTTATTATTGTTAATTTGAAATTTACATTTAAGTTTTTTTTTATAATTTTGAATTATTATTACTTTGAAATGTAAAAAATGTAAAATTTTTTCGTAAATAAATTGAAATAAAAAAAGTCGTTTTATTCTAATTTAGCTTTATAATTATCTATTTTTATGTGAAATTATGTTAAAAACAAAAAACCGCAAACACTAATAAGCAATAAATAGAAATAATTACTTTATTTAAAATTTCTTTTGCATTTTTATTTACTTTTTACATAGATTTATCAGCTCGTCGTGCGTAACTCGTTTATAATGGTTTTTTTTTTTATTTTCAGATTATTTATATTATATTACTTCTTTATTTTATATTATTATATATTTGTTTTTATATTATGTATTTATTTCATATACATGGCAAATATACCTAACGCAGTTTTTAGTGATTTGTTGAGTGAACACCCAAAGTTGTGGGGTGTTGGCAGATGTAGGGTTTGCATGTTAGAATGCAACAGGTTTGCTGACAGACTGACGGCGAAAACTGGCCAGTTAGTGACGGAAGCGTCAGTTTAAAAAAAAATTAGGATAATTAGACGTAGATTGAAGAGGTTGGGTAGGAAGAGCAATCGCTCAACATTAGAAGGTTTCAGGGATTTGGGGTTGGTGAGGCGGTGGAGTCAATTACAGGTGAAATATGAACGGATTATGATTATCGACGAGGACTTGTTAGGTTTCGGCAACACGGACAAAGTAAAAGTAAAGTAAGTAAAGCAAATATGCGCTGGTATCCACGTGGTTTAAATTCGATGAGATTGATTTCTTTGCAAATTTTCATCATGAACTATTCAAAATTCGACCTTTTTACAATAGAAAGATTCAGTTTTCCTACAAAGGTTGAAAAAGTTGTCCCGGCTTCTCCAAAGTTTTAACGCCAATTTAGAATGTCGAAACACTATTACTTAGTTATAATTGTTGAGAAATTTTGAAAATTGCACATATTACGACTCTTTAGGATAGGGCGTTATATGGGGAGAGGTTTTCAACAGCGTTCTTCTTTGTGTCAAAAACTGCGTCCTGTAGTTTGAATACAAACTTGGATGGACTGACCTCAGACAGACAAGCGTAGCTTGATAAAAGATGGGCGTAACTTAAGCAAATCTGGATGTTACGTGCGCCCGCACAAATTTACTATACCCTTAATACACCCTGTACCGCAAGTGAATGAAAGTAAATGAAAAAATATAATTTTTAACAAAGGCAATCTTTTGAAAATATTTTACGAGTTTCTCCAGGCAACGTTATTTTCAATACTTTGTAAACAAGTAAGAATATTATAGCCGGGCAAGGACGACCATTTCTCTACACCACATTATCTAACATAATTCTTACTATTATGGTACAATTTTCATCAACACATGTTAAAGCTTAGATTTTTCCGCTTCACTAAGGATCAATTTTCGTGAAAATTCATATTAAGGTAGGACAAGGTGCAGTTAGTTTTTTTTGTTACTATCATGGCACAATTTTCGTTATGAAGCATTAAAAATAATACCTTAGTTTTTGCTATATGAAAGGAATTTTGAAAATATCAATTTTTTTTTAATATAACGGTTTTTCAGAATAGGGCGTCAATAAAACGGACCGATCTGAACCATTTTCAATAGTATTCGTCCTCGCATCAAAACACACCATCGAAATATCTTTCAAAATTGCGATCTGCAGATTGAACACAAATTTACATTAACATGACATCAGATGGACAGACACGCTTAGATCAATTCAGATTATGGTTCTGAATCGATCGATATAATATGTGTCTTAAGCCTTTATGCATGTTATATATGTTCGCACTAACTTAATATAAGCTGTATCATAAGGGGGTATAAATTCGAATGAGATAAGCATCAAATTTGTGTAGGCCTTGTGTAGGCCGCTTTGAGAAATGGTTTTTTGAAGACATGTTCTTTTGCATTTTTTCTCATTAGTCAGAAAAAGAAATTTTGCTGCGCAAACGGTATAGTACAATAACAGATCGTTGATAATCTACCTATTTTTTTCTAAGTTTTTGTTTTAGATTAGTTTCGAATTCACTGACATGAATAAAAATATTTTTGTGTTAAATATTTACAGCAATCCATTGACGAAAATTTGAAATTATTTTACAGTTGAAAACTTCGGGTAATTAGTGACTTTTCTATAAATTTTTATGTTATGTTTTCATACGCCCTTTAATCCTTAAATGTATTGTAGCAGCCTTTGCATAGTGTTTTTTTTTTTTTAATTTTAATTTAATCAAATCTATTTTATCATTTCCGAAAGCAACTACAATCTTTGACAATGGATAACAAATTCGCGGATACTTATAAAAAGAAAAACACCGTTGCAAAGGGCATCCCAAACAAAGATCTGCTCAAAGAACTTCATCAGTTCCGCAATGATTTGGCTGATGCTACTTGTACTATGGGATCTTACATAAGCAGCAGTTAAAGCGGTTACCCCAGTATAGCTTCCAAATGAAAAAACCTAGAGGGTCAAGACCGAAAGGTCATCTCTTCCTTTGCCGTCTATAGATATATGAAAAGACGAGATTGTAGCAAAGTCAATGTTACTTTATGTTTATGTTTAAACGCTACAAATAATTGTTTCATAGATTTCAATGTTTTGTAATGTAATGAAAACAATTATTTATGTTTGAAATATTATATTATTGTACACATGTAAAATTCATGGAACGATTTTGCATGACGATGTAAAATAGTTTAGAAGAAAAACTTCTGTGTTTTTTTTTTTCATTTTTCTTTTTAATTGCACCCATTTTCCTTTTTTGATTTAAATTTTTTTTTTTTTAAATTTTTTAAATACTTCATGCATTTAAGGGTTAAGAAACTACTGAGTGTGCATATGTATTCTATGCCTGATGGAAAAACTTTATTGCCTTCGCACACAGGGATAAATGTGTAGGTTTCGTATATCTTACTTTGAAGTGAAAAGCAACAAAAATATTGCAGTGATTTACATGTAGCTAAAGTTTAGGATGGTACAAGTTTCACATGTTGCCGCAAATCACGCCAGTAATTTAAGTTAATTATGAATAATTCGACTTAATTATGAAAATCGAAAATATATATTACAGCCGGTCTAGGTCGACCTTTAAATACTTCACACTAGAGCTATTTATTCTTTTTCTGTTCTCGATAAAAATCCTTATACGGGGTGGAATTGATAAAATAGACCTACGGAGTCCAAATTCAGTATGGACCAATTTTCACAACGAAAAGCTGAAAATTAAAACTCTTTGTGATATGAAAGTCCATGTTTCGCAGCAATTCTGTTAGCTCCTTCCTCAAAAGTTTTCGCTCCGTGAAGACTAGTAAATTTAAAGCCCTTCTTTTTAATCGGCTCGGTTACTAAGCTTTTCAATTTGTCTGTACTTAGTGGAATCTTCCCTAAGATATGGAAGAGCAGTTTCATACTCCCCGTGCACAAAGCTAATAATAGGCACTTGATCGTTAGCTATCGAGGCATTTCCAAAGTTACCGCGTTTCCGAAAATTTTTTAGATACCCAATCGTGCGAAGAATAATCGTTAATATGAAAATCAATTATATTCATTATAGATGTTAGTAAAGCATTCCATGAGATTAAACACAGTCCGTTAATTCCGGAACTTGATTTGATGCTTTTCTCCTCGTATTTTCTAAATTGGATTGTTTCGTATTTAAGGCATAGAGTTTTTGTTTTCTTTCTTAATGACTTGCCATCAACCATACGACGTTCAACTATTCAACATGTACAACGTGTCGTAAATGTACCTAACGGCTGGTGTGACTTAAACGTTATGGCATGCGGACAAGCTTTCTTAAACCGGATCAGAAAATGATTTTAAATTGATCGATCTAATATAAGTTAGATCTACGTTAAGTCCTTCTCTGCGTTACATCCTCGCAAAATTAGTATACCGCAAACAATGAGTTTAAATGTAAATATAATATGCAAGGTTTACTATGATATGTCAACCAAGCAAATGAGGTTATGTTCTATTGAAGAGAGAGAATGGAGAAAGTAACAAACTCTGTCTTTGTTGCAGATGACGTGGCATAGTAATCATAATTGATATGATCGCGCCACGTACATGCACACGCACACACCCAGACACATTGACACTGAAGCGACCGCAGTAGAAGGCCTTTGGAGCAAAAGTGTTGGCCAATAATCGAAGTAAAAAATCATTCAATTAATGCGTAGATGCAAAATCTTTTCATCATGTGAACGAAATAGCTTTGAATAAATATTCAAACAATAAAAGTGTTCAATCACTGACTTTTTTCTTCCGCTATGAATAAAAAGTTAATTGAAAATTTTTTGCCATTTTCGAATCTCTCTTATATAAATGCAAGGATGTAAAGTAATAGTAAGTAAGTGTTTTTTGCATTAAGTATTTGTACATAAATAAACAATTGAAACGTGAAAAACTTACATTGTTTTCCGAATGTTTTTTGGTTTAACTTCACATTGTTTGCACAGCTAAAACTTTATATTAAGTTGTAAGCTTACAAACTTTTTTGACGCTAACTGCTTTTTGTAGTCATACTTGTTTTATCAGTGACTTTGATATGAAAATTTACAAAAGCGTTGATGTGTTCTTTATATTCATAATTATCGTTAATAAGTTAACCATTATAAAAGTAAAGACAAATTATTCTACGCATCCATTAGTCTTGCTAATTTTCCGGCAACATATACATTCCATATGGAAAGAATAATTTACCCTCTGAAGTTATATATATACAGATGGATTGATTGACGGCGGCTTTCAGCCAGATAAGGAATCATGGACTGACAAAAGTGGTAAACGTAA